ACATCATAAGCTTTGCTCACTGACTCTTAAGAGTTGAGTCAAACTTTCATGGGATGATCCTTGAGACAACTGTGAAGGGCACCATGGAGGAAAACTTCCTTCTGCCAATTCCTATTATTTAACGAATAAAATAAATTTTTATGTAACAATAAATGAGAAAAAAAATTAGATTTCGCGAGATACCATAGTCATTGATGCATATGGACGTGAAAAATGAATCTCCTGAACATAGTCTGCGTGCTAATTAGTTTGGCGTTGACGAGATTTTGGAAATGAAGTCTGATAAGTCAATTTCATATGCTTGTGCCATTTTTATCGTTCTTTGTGATGGCAACAGATGAACTAAAGATGGAGGAACAGGAGGATGGTTATGTTTCTCTTCGAATGAAGTGATGCGAAACCTCCCATTTGATTGACGACTAACAATAACATGAGGCAAGGAATCGGTTCTAGTTTCCTTCCTATGTTTTTTTAACAGTAGGATCTCGTTTGTCTTTACCTCTGTAACCTTCTTTATAACATGTTAATTTTCTTGAAGTCACATACCCGTGTGCTCTGTTTTTGTTTGCATATTCTTTTCTAACACTAAAACCAATTGCAGCTGTGTATTCATTGTAACAATCATATGCATGCTCATCGGAATCAAATTCCATGGCAAATTTTATTGGCATGTTACATCCACTTTGAGAGTCACTAGATATCTCCATAAATCTACATTATAAAAAATATGAATCTGACAAATAATCTATATTCATAAATTTTGGAAAAACATAAAAAAAAGTCTCAAATAATGAATTACAAGACATGGGGTCATCTGCAATCTTATTCATAACATTTAGCTTTTTTGAACTTTTTCACTTCAAAATTATGATTGGCGTCTATACAAGGTTGAATAGAGTCTAATTTTCAAGTGATAAATATAGAGCAAACTGCTATCATGTTGCCTTTTGTGTTTGAAAGTAGGCATAGCCACTAGGAAGAAACACGTTCTTCTCGATCAACATTTTGTGAAACAGTTTTTAATCTTAATTATTCAACTTGCTATATGTGTTTAAGGAAATTGTTAAATATTGATTTCATACTTTATTCTCAAAAAGTTTAGTTGAGACATTTTATCAAACATATCGTAGACATTTTTTAACATGAGCAATTCGACACTATAAAAATCACAACAAATTTAATTTAACACTACAAAAATGACAAGAGGTGTAAGATTGAAGAAGAACCTATTTTGTTGTCGTCGCTCTTTACCCAGAATAATATTTTGGTCAACAACTGATTTCATTTTTCTCCTTGTAATTTTGTATTGTTGTTGTAGTACTAGTAGTTTGTAAATGGTTTAATCTTTTGTTTTTCTTCATTCTTGCGCCAAAGATTCCTTTCCATTGATAAAAAAAATATTTTCCCAATCGAAATAAAATTCCCAGCAAGATTTTCGGATAGTTGATTTCTCTTTCTAATTTTGATACTAACCTAGCAAGAGAATGTAGTTTAATCATGCTTTAGTCTAAATAAATTTTGGCCCTCGGATCCGAAAGATGACAGATATCATTAAATTAGACATGCACTTATGAAAATGGAGAGATATTGTACAGGAGTTGAGCCAAATCCGTATCAAACAGGATTGCGAAAGATATAATAGCATCACAAATTTTCTCGCTTAGACTGAGTTCTTCCTTGTACTTTATGGCATTTATGGTTATGTCGCAACAACATTGTGTTCTAAAATACGAATTACTATTTTTGAGAACTGGTTATTAATAAAGCCATTGAATTAAAGCTCCGATTGGTTGCAGATTAGGTGAATCAACGTGATCACTGAATCCATCAAGTGAGAATTGGGGAAGTAATTAGAGATAGCATTGGTAATTGAATTATTGGCTACAACAAAAGCATACTAGTTATTGTGAATGTATACTTGAATTACGAGCTATATACACAGGCTGAAAAATTGCTTTACAATTTCAACTTGATAATTAAAATTGATTTAGAAATAGCCATAAATATGATATTAAATAAGAGGGATTTCTATTACCATCTTGTTGCTAATTGAGGCCAATAATGCATAACTTGGGCCAACCGCGACAGAAGCATTCTTATAGAAAAGAAAGTAGAGTTGCGAATGACCTGACAAAAAAAATGGAAGTCACATTTATGTTACTAATAAGTTAAGGATATATCATTGTCCCCACTTTTTGTACTGATTTCCTTTTTGAATAATTGTATGAGAACTTCTTATCCCAGAAAAGTTAAGTAAATTTCTAGGGAAAAGACATAATTTATCCATCAAGTTTGTCTCGAAAAGTTAGTTATACACTTTAACATTAATGAACACCAAAATACTTACTAAGAGAGAACCCAATTTCTATTATCATAGTTTTTTATCCAATACCCATATTCCATTAATTTGTAGTTCTTTCATATGGAATCCATGAGCATGTCGAGTTCGAACAGAATCAAATAGCTCCATGCGTGCCTCACGGGTTTAGGCTACAACATTACTTGGCAACAAAGCTTATTATTGTTTATTGTATTTGTATTGAATTATTCAATGCACATCACCTGTTTGATAGAATTAGTGTGAAATTGTTTTTTCTTTCTTTTGATTCGTGGATATGCTTGGAATCGATCTTACAATGTTGCAATTTCTTTTATTATTAAATGCTTGATTATTCACTACCATGAGCACCACAACCAATCCTTTATTCATAAGAAAATAGACAATGTTAACAGAAATTGTCTGAAGAGTATAGCAGGTCATTTGTGGTCTATATAATTGGAATGACATGAAAGGAAAAAGGATACAAGATGTTGCTTCTCGGTACTTTAGTTGATACGTGCAAGAGATCAGTAGTTGTCACTAGTGGGTTAGAAACTTACTGGGATATGCATGAGTGGAAGTTAGAGAGTCACTAGAAACTTATAGAATGCTTACTAGCACGAGTGGAAATTAGAGAGGAACTTATAGAAACTTACTACCTGTTTTTGCAAAATATAGGAACGGTTTGGGTGACTATTGGCAGGCCATTGAGACTTCATATTCTATGTCAGGTCAGATTTTCTTATACAGCATAAGATATCATACAAATATATCATCTGGAAGGTTTTCTATAATGACTCGGTCGGTCGTTTTATGTATTTGAGCCTCGTTCTCCCTATTTGATGCTTTTTGCATGTGCATTTGTCGTTTGACGACTTGCTGGGTGTAACGATCCGGCAGGTCATTTTATGTATTTGAGTCCCGTTTCCCCATTTTTTTAAAGCAAATATACCACTGGGGTTGGACCCTAGTGGCTAATTTATATTAAAAGTAAAAACCAAAATTTTCAAATAGCAAAGTCTGTCGTTCTAAATCTATGAAAGTATTAAGAATTAACTATTACAAAAATTAATTTGAAGCATGATGTGTTGTGCGCATCCATAAGCCTTTAGCAAAACTTCAAAGTTGCACCTTCAAACGCTCTCACCAGGCGTCTTGTTTTGCGTTCCCAAGGAGTAGGCAAATGAGATTCTTCAACGACCATCGTCAAATTCTGTATTTAGATTAACGATTGTCCATACTTTGTTTTTGAGTTTAGTCCTTGCTAGTGGTGTGTAACTTGATGGCTATCTGTCAGTAGCATCAGCCAGCATGCTTCTTTTTTGGAACCTTCTTCCATCGATTGCTTAATGATCCCACTAAAAACCAACTAAACGCTGATGCCTTCCAGAATTTCAATCGCTGGACCAACAGTGTACAGGTAAAAAGCAGCAAAGTGGCATGAGCATTTAGCTGCATCGATCATTAATTTGGAGCTTTTCTCTTGGCAATCCTAATCCTTAGATTAGGAGTTTTGACTTATCAAGGTTGAGTATCCTCCTCCGTGCACTTGACAAGTTAGTGAATGAGTTAAATGTAATTGTACCTGCAAAAGAGAAAGCTATGTTAGCAAAATAATCCGCCAGTCTGTTTCCCTCCCTTAGAACATGTTGAAAGAGTACATTGAATTTCTCCTTTATTCTTTTGATCCTATTCACCTCATTTCCTATATACTATGAAGTTTCCCATTCTCCCTCTATGGTTCTCTTCATTACCAATGAATCTATCTCTATGATCAAAGGGTACAGCTGCTGGTTAACACAAAAAAGTCAACCCTTGTACGATTGCTTTTGCTTCTGCCACAATATTAGTAATCTCTCCTATCCTCTCTGCCTTAGCATGTACCAAATCTCCACTGTTGTTCCTCACACAAAAACCGTAAGAGCTTGGTCCTGGATTGCCTTTTGAGGCACCATCAGTGTTACATTTGAACCATCTTTCGTAAGGTGGCTCCCATGTTATTCTCTTTGTCATAACATAAGGTCTGTATCCTTCAAAATATCTGATCATGTCTGGCCAGAGTAAAGGGATATGTGGCATCCAAGGATACCTAATCTTAGCTAGATTATGTAGTGTCTAGTTAACTTCATGAATCACCCTGTTGCATGAAACTGTACCTCCATACTTTTTAGTATTTCTCCTCTTCTAAATTTCCCAAGTGATCACTACAGGGGCTGCCTGGTATAAGGGCTTCAGTTTGCGACACATTCAAAATTCCACCAAGCTCGATTATACCTGATGCATGTACAAATGTCTTCCACACTCTATTTGTTATAGGATTTAGTAAGAATAGGTGCTGATAGGAATCCTCTTGGGGTTGATCACAGCATCAACATTTTGATACTACCATATAACCATTCCTTCTCCACAAGTCATCAGTAGGTATTTTGCCTTTCCATAATCTCCATAAAAAGAAAGATATTTTAAATGGCAATCCCTTTGTCCATAGCAGCTTATATTCAGCATTTACATGTGTCATATGCCTCAAAATTTCCCAGGCAGTGGTTACTAAGAATCTGCCTGTTGTTGTAGCCATCCATTTTGGTGTGTCCCAATAGTCATCACTGTTCTCATAGTACACCTCCTGTCTTATATGTTCTGCAATTTCTGTTGGAAAAGATTGTTCCACCAGTTGGTCATTTCAGGCATTTTCCTCTCTCAATTCAGCTACTTCTTGAAGTTCTTCATTAATATGAAACTTTGGAGGTATGACATGATACAATGCACCTAAACCAGTCCAATTCTCATGCCATATGTTTGAAGATCCACTCTTCAGCTCCCATAATAGTTCATGTCCTACTTCTTCCCTTGCCTCTAACATTTTTTTCCAAACATGTGATCTTTGTTTAAATTGAACCACTGTAGGAATTTCTTTCTTGCAACACTTATTCCACGTGAAATTGGCCCATAGTGATTTAGTAGTCCTGAAGTTCCACCACAGTTTTGCAAATAATGCTTTTGCAGTTTCAACAAGAGACCTAAACCTCACTCCACCTTCATCCTTTGGCAAACATAAGTTTTGCCATTTTGTCCAGTGTCTACTTCTTCCTTCATCCTTGTTTCTCCAGAAAAACCTTGCAAATATCTTATGTAAGTGTTGTAGTACATTGGCAGGTGGATCAAGTATTGGCAAAATGTGAAATGGCATGCTTTGAAGCACACTGGAAATCAAAGTAGCTTTGCCTCCATAAGATAAGAGCTTACCCTTCCATGAATGTAGTTTAGCCTTCACCTTCTGTGTAAGTTCATTGTAGTACTCCTTTCTTCTTCTTGTATAAAAAATGGGACAACCCAAATAAGTAAAAGAAAATTCACCCTTTGAGATGCCAGTTATGTCTGTTACTGTATTGATTAATGTTGCAGCAGTGTTTGAGTGTACATAGAATGAGCACTTTTCTTTGTTAATTAGTTGCCCAGATATATGCTCATACTTAGCCAAAACCTCAACTATCTTCTGTAAGAAGTATTGATCAGGAGAAGCAAAAATGATAGTGTCATCAACATAGGCTAGGTGGTTCAATAGATCAGTCCACTTTGGCATGCTATAACCCTTGAATAGTTTGTCTTCAAAAAGCTTATTCAAAGATCTGGACGGTAGCTCTGTTGAGAGAATGAATAGGGCTGGTGATAAAGGGTCCCCTTGTTTAACACCTCTTGTTGAGTGAAAGAAATGTGATGCTTGACTATTAATCAGAACTAAGTACTAGTTATTAGCAATTAGATTCCATATCATATTGATGAAGCATTCTACAAATCCAATCTTCCTCAGCACATACATTAGGTATTTCTATGAAACCCTATCATATGCCTTTGCCATGTCAAGTTTGATCACTACATTGTCAGGTTTACCCCTTAATCTTATGTTAGTGACAATCTCCTGAGTTAACAAAATATTCTCAAAAATACTTCTTCCCTTGACAAATCCTGATTGATTCGTAGAGATCAATGTAGGCAGAGTCTTTTCCAACCTATCATGAAGTACTCTAGAGAAGACCTTGTTTATAGAATTACTCAAACGTATTGGTCTGAGATCTGAGAAAGTTTGGACCATTAATTTATTTGGCAACAAAACAAGGTTTGTGTGTTTTATAACCTTTGGTAAAAGTCTTCCTACATAGAACTGTTTCACCATGTTATGTATATCTTTACCTATAATCTCCTAGCATGTATGAAAGAATATGCCAGTGAATCCATCCGGGCCACTTGCACTCTCACCACTCAATGCAAAAATAGTTGCCTTTACCTCTTCTCTTGTAGGAGTTGTACATAGCTCTATGTTTTGTTCAGCAGATACCATAGTAGGGACATTGTTCAGTAGTTCAAAACTTGTAGGCTCAGCTTCTTGTGTGAATTGTCTCTGGAAGAAGTCAACTGCAGCCTCAGCCATGAGATGTTGTGACTCTATCTATGCACCATTATTATTTTGTATTCTCTTCAGTTGTAGCTTCTGTCTTTTGCCATTGACAAGGTTATGAAAAAATCCAGTATTTTTGTTCCCTTCTACAAACCATGTCATACCTGCTTTTTGTTTCCAATACTGCTCCTCAATGCTCAGGTACTTCTTCAGTTCAGCTTGGGCTTTCTAAGGTACTATTCTATTCTCCACTGTTGGCTCTTCTTCAAAACACATATGCTTCACTCTAACCACATCTTCTCTAATAGCCAGTTGCTTAAAATATCTCCATAAGTGAGCTTGCTCCATTTAGATAGTTCAATCTTAGTCCTCTTTAGTTTCTACTTGAACATTAAGAAAGGATCACCAGTGAAGTCAGCCATCCAATGTTTTCTAACCACCTCCATGAAAGAGTCATTTTCTGTCCAGAAGTTGAGGAATTTGAATGGTTTTAAAAATTTCAAAACTTGATCACCACAACTCATCAGTAGTGGGGCATGGTCTGGCCCTGTTTTATTGAGATGCTCCACTTCTATATTAGGGAATATTGTCTGGAAAGGTAGGTTCACAAATATTCTGTCCAATTGTTTGAAAATGCATTCTGCATTTGACCTCTCATTCCAACAAGTGAAGGGGTTGCCTTTATATCCAAGATCAAACAATCCACATGAGTTAACACAAGAAAAAAAGTCTTCATATTCTGGAGGGTATACAGGAAGTCCTCCTATCTTCTCCTCTTCACTAAGAACCACATTAAAATCTCCTCCAACTACCCAATGCAGTTCCATGTCACTGGCAAGATAATATAGATTATCCCACAATTCTAATATTTCTAGTGATGTGCATTTTGCATATACAAAAGTCATCATAACGTATTTCCCAATATCCTGATGATACACCTTGATGGTTATCTATTGTTCAGTATCAATCACCAACTCCCATTCCACCACAACATCAAAGAATAACCAAATTTTCCCATTGACATTTGATATTGCATCTTCCATACCTAACCTCCTCTTGTAGTTCTGAATATACCTTGGCTTTTAAAATGGCTCCATAAGTGCAACAATGAAAAAGACATGTTCCTTTTGCATGTTGATGACTCTCTGATATGCTCATTGAGTCTTAACAGACTTTATGTTCCATATTAATATTTTAATCATCATTTAGTCATTGAGGCTGCCCTCTTGGGAAAAAATCTTGTTGGCTGTAGAGCTTCTTTATTCTGTTGTTTCATACCTTTCTTAGCACTTCTAGATGAAACTCTAGGTGATAGATCTCCTTCTCTTGCAACAGCTTTAAAGTTCCCATCAGTATACTCACCATCACCCTTATCTTCTTGTTGTTGTTGTTCCACCATTGCATTGTGAATTTCCACAGGCAATACCTTGTGTGTAATTATATCATGTAACACCTGCTCTGGAGATTTTAATGATACATTGATCTATATTGGTACTGGATATCCAGTAGCTGAAGCACATGCTATGGGCATTGTCTCAATTGTACCTGATTCCCTTGGTACTATAGCTTGATCAATATCATCATGATCCCTCATTGTTTCCTCCTTTAACACCTTAGAAGTCATCTCCATAACTCCCATATTTCTTCTCTCACTTGAAGATTGTATGTGGAACCCATCTTAGGAATTTCTGTGGTTGTCTGCACCTCAGTCTCGAGCTCAGTGCTCCATAGTCCCTACATTTTCCTGTAATATCATGAGTTGTTGATCCTCTCTATCTAAGTCCTCACTGTTGTAGTCATATTCTTCATTTTGAGTCCGATTATGCCTGGGATCATCTTCCTCTAGCCCAGAGAGAGAGAACTTGTTGAACTGGCAATGTTCTGGATAAAGTGTGAGTGATTCAAAGTCTTTTTTTCCTGCTTCCTGCTGCATAGACGATGGTGAGATCTGATCCATGGTAGCTATTGCTGATGGTACTACTAATGTTCCAGTTCTTGTTTCTTTTGCATAAGGTGAAGTTGTAGCTTGGAGGCTTTCTGCAGTTCCAGCAATTACTCCATGTTCGTGAGATCTCAATAAAGGTGTTACTTGTGGCTCTACTACTTGAGGGTGAGGTGAGGGTGTAAGCTGTGACATTATATCAGCTTCTTTATCTGGTGATGCTACTTATTTGGTATTGTTCCTAGATTCTTTTGTGTCAATCTAGTAGTTGCTGCATTTTATTCAAATCTGCCGTTTTCCTTTGTCTTGTCAATTATTTCCTTTTCTTTTGGCTGGGATTAGATTTGGACTTGGTTGTGAGTGGTTGTGTTCCTATGGATTCATTCTCTCGATTAATAATTGTCATATGAACCTTCTCATGACTACTGGGGATCTGTAGTACGGAGTTACCGGATGTCATTACAGTATCATGTATCACTGGGGGACCTCCAATTCCTTTGGTTCCCCATCTCTTACTGATGAGGGTTCACCCTGATCAGCCAACTTCCCTCTTTCAAATTTTATACACACATGGTTGTTGGAATGGTTATTCCTTGCTGCTTGTTGTGTTGCTATTTTTTGATGATGTCCTTCAGTGTGGTCCTTTATTTGGTTCTGATTTCTGTCCTTGTCTTGCATCTGCCCTATTTGCATATGTGTTTGCTGCATGTCTGTTCTCCCAGAATTGTTGTGTAGTTTCTGAGTATCTTTGTGAGCTGTTGTTTCAGCAACATCATTTTGCTTTCCCTCTCCCTCTCTTCTTTTGATTGGACAGAATTTGATTATATGTCCAAGGTGTTTGCAGTGTAGGCAGTAAGTTGGAAGATCCTCATACTCTACTTCAAGCCATTGACTATCGCCATTCTCATCTTGTTCTTCATCAAAACCAAGCCAAACATGATGCGATCTTTACAACAACAACCCATTATAATCCCACAAGTGGGGTCTGGGAAGGGTAGAGTGTACGCAGACCTTACCCCTACCCCAAGAGGGATAGAGAGGTTGTTTTCGAAAGACCCTCGGCTCGAGAAGAAGAAAAATAAACAATAGACAATAGGTTAGTGACAACAATAGAAGATGAAAAATATTAACAGCATCGTAAGAAGTAGAAAAATAGATGTAATTAATGCGATCTTTGTTTTGATAAATCAATTTGTACCCTTACCTTTGCAACACTACCCCTAGTCTTCTGCATTGAGGCAAGATGAAGATGCAGGACCTTACCAACTGGTGATAGCAACACTGTGAGGATCTCCATATAGTACAGGTGCCAGGGAAGTTCTGGTACTATCACCCAAGTTGGTACAATAGGTGAGTCTTTATTGGCTTTAAACTTAGGAGTCCATGATTGGAGTTGCATTCTCTGCCCCTATATAAACATGAATTATTTTGTCCACTCAATAGTGTGATCATACTCATTGGTGACGTTTGGAGTTGCTGAAGTTGCTGATGTCTGGTGTGCCTTGCGATCGTGGAGCACGTCTCGCGATCGCAAAGGCTATAATGGGACAGTGTCATTTTTTCTCTTCGCATTCGCGATGGGAGTGTCGCGTTCACTGAGGTTGGTGGGCAGTGGCCTTCGCGTTCACGTCCTTCGCATCACATTCACGTTAGGGGAAGGCCGAATGGGGTCATCAGGTGTTTGGCCTTCACATTCGCGGGTGGGAGAACGTGTTCGCGTAGGATAGTGGATGTTGTTTTTTTTGGGACTTTGAGCTTATTTTATAATATATTTGAGATTGGGAGCTCGGATTGAGGTAATTCTTTAGGCATTTTCACCCACTAGGATTGATTAAGTGTTCTTAACTCAGATTTGATTATTATTCATGATTGCATACTTGATTTTGCATTTGATTGGTGTATCTGAGTGAGAAAATTGAGAATTTTAGCAAAACTTTTTAAAAATAAAAAATAAAGATTTGAACCTCGATTCGAACTCAAATTTGGATGAAACTTATATATTTTGACTCGTATTCGAATTGGTAGTCGGGATTTATGACTTTCGTCGGGTTTCAGGAGGCGAGCCTAGGTTGACTTTTTGGTTGACCTTTTGATATTTGATAAAGATTAGAGCTTTATTACTTGGAATCGATTTCTATAGCCGTGTTTGATGTTATTGAGTTGACCGGATTAGACCTTAAGCTATTAATATGCCTTAATTTAAGGATGTATTCTATATGAAACGTGCTTAATCACTTTCTGGATACGTAAACATGATCACTACAATTGTTTTAGCCGTAGAAATGCTTTTCTTTTTGTTAAACACCCATCCGCATTTTACTGATTTCATGTCCTTGTGTACCTTGTTGATAAATTATGTGCTTATATCTTTGGTAAAATTTTAGCATTATTGTTTTGTGATAATTGTGACACACATGGACGTGTTGAGAGAATTGATTGGGTGTTGGCACGCGGTCTTTACCGTGCAATTGTGTTTATTGTAGTGCACGTGAGGCAAAATAAGGGTGGCATTTTCTCGAGTTGCCAACGTGGAGAAATAAGGGTGGTAATATGCCTTATGGCAGAGTAATGAGGGCATTTATTATTACTTGTACATGTGTCGAAATAAGGGTGACATTGTTGATGATGTTATGTGATGATTTGGGGGTGTTTCTCTTGATGTTGTTTATGTGATGAAACGAGGTTGGTATTTTGTTCATATGCATATTTTGCTTAAAAACTCTGTCATGTACTTTAATCAGTTGTTTGTTGATTTTGACATGCCTTCATATGTCTTCACTTCTATTTGGTGACTTGTTGTCAAAGATGGATTCTTCTACATTGTATTGTTATCATATGTTGTAGGGAGATTGTTGATATTTCTTTCCTTTATATTTTGTTGCCAGCTTTTGATATATTGCACATGTTATTAGACTAGTGAGTATCACATGACTTGAAACTTGTCATTACTTTACCGAGGTTAGTCTTGATACTTACTAGGTACCAGTCGTGGTATACTCATACTATACTTCTGCATAATTTTGAGCAGATGCAGGTGCTGGAGGCAACATATCTTGAGATTGAGAGCTTGAATCAGTCGTGAAGATTCAAG